ATTCTTTCTGTGTTTTTGGCCCATTTTGTATTTGGTTTATTAGTCTTTTTCTTCTGAGGCCTAGTAGTATTCTGAAACAATTTGTTATGAGTCCCTTGTCTGAGATGGTATTGCCAAATGTTTTTTCCTCAGATGGTAGGTTTTCTTCTCACTCTATTAGAAAATGTTTTTGACACACACTGGGATTTAATCTTTACAAAGTCCCATTCATCAATTTTATCTGCTCCAGACTCTGCATTTCTGGCTGTATTTGTAAGCCTCTTGGTTTCTAAACATAGAAACTGCATAGGACTCAGCTGTTCCACATCTAGGAATATTCCCCAAGGAAATTAGACCTGAGACACCAATTTTCATGGCAGTGTTATTCACCATTGAAAGAATATGGAAACAGCACAAAAAGCCAACCACAAGAAAATGGACTAAGAAATTGTGGTACATTCACACAATGGAATACTATGCAGCATGCAGGAGCAACAGTTTCAAAAAACACTACATAACTTGGGAGAGACTGGGAAGCATTATGTTGAGTGAACTAACTCTGTCTCATAAGAAAAAATATGGCATAAGATCATTATTGTAAAAATAGGATAAGTAGTAAAATGTGTATGGGGACCCAAGAGGGTAAGGGGTGAGAGCAGAGGGGTGAATATGGGTAGGGGGGAAATCACAGGGTCACACAATTTGGTGGGTGGAGGAAGGGGGTAAAGAAAATGGCAAGATCTGGCAGGGACCTGTAAAGCCAGGGTAATGGTAGGCATAGTCCAATGGTGATTAATTTTATAGAACACAATATATGAGAATGATTATATGAAACATAATGTCAATGAAGGAAAGTGTGGGAAGATATCTGCATAAAAAGAAACTTATTTAAAAAGGAATATACTTCTGAATTAGACATATATATAAACCATAAAGTTAAAAAAATACGTTTGAAAGTACTTTTAGTAAAATTAAAAAAATGCATCTTACATAATGAAAATCTACAACGATAAGTATCTTCTCTGAAACACTCAATTTCAAATTACATTTAACAATATTTCTTGACAAGGAAACAATTCAGCAGCTTTTGAAAAATGTAATCAGTTGTATTACCACCCTAACAATTGTTGTTTGTTATTGTTGTTATGTGCCGTCGAGTCATCTGCGACTCACAGCAACCCTATGTACAACAGCCCTAAATCGTGCTCTATCCTGTGCCAATCTCACTGCCTCTGACACACCCATCCCGATTATCCAAGTCACTGAATCAATCC